TATTCATACGTACAAATTACAATTATATCGATACGTATCCCTAACGCTTTTGCTTTGCTGTTGAAACGCCAGATGTCTCCTGGGTCTATAGGCCTCATCTATAATATACTGTGGCTTATAGTTTTTAACGGAAAAACACTTTTCATTCAAAAAAGGCTTCTTCGAAATCATGGTTAATAGTCACTTAAACATTTCTTGAAAATCAGAAGATAGAAATGTTACTCTTGGCGGTCCCGTTAAGTCGTACTCGATTAAACAAAGCTCGACCATAGTTTACATCATCAACTTTAACAACATCGCTGGCTATTCTTTTTTTTTTGGCCTACAAGTATATGATATTAACTATTTCCATATGTTGTAGTAGAATCGGCATACTCTATCCTCCCAGAGAATTATTTTGATCCTTAACCGATAATTATCATGTCATTATGGTGGTAACATTGTTCAATGCCAAACAATTTCGAAATGTTCACTAAATAGTTATCATGTTAACGAGACGAGAAGGTCCAGATCGACTTTTATGCAGGCTTAGTTACGGTATACAGTATCAGTGTACGCTCTATACTGATATCATTTGAATATTTGTGAAGAACAGGCCTAAAAATGCCCTGTTTGATTTTTGTCTCTCAAAGTTGCCAATTTTATTAGGCCTCCTAAAATAGTTTCCGAAACGACGGTCACACCCTAGTGCCCTTGCTCTCCCAGAAACCGTGGATATTTTGTTTATAAATTAAGCCTCATAGTGAGACGAGTCTGCAACTTTTATCATGAAAACATTAAACCCGTTTCGACACTGCTTATTTCAATGATTATAATGAATATAAAAGGAACCGATGATATCAGTTGACATTCTCTGTACAACCAGATTTCCTCGACATGAATTCTACACTATATAATGGTCCTCTTTAATAGTTATATCCTCAGTTTTACCATAAGCGTATACTTTGATATAATAACCCCGATTTTTATTTGTTAATAAAATATGAGATAAATAGAGACATTAAATATGGTAATTTTATTCTTTTGTAAACTAGAAGCAATAAATATCATTTAACAATATTAAAATTTTAATAAAATTATGATGGTGCGAACATGTATTATAATTACAGTAATGATATTTAATAATATAATGATATTTAATAATTATAATGTTTTACTTATAATGTGAATTATATTTATTATCATTTTGAAAGGGCAGCGTATTCGATTGTACCAATATGCAAATTTGGCTAACTCTCTATATTGGCATGCGCACTTCAAAGTAGGCGGAATCAATTTTAATCTGTAACGTGTAACAAAGTATAGGCCAATGTTGTGATTTCTTTTTGTCTCTCAAAGTTGCCAATTTTATTAGGCCTCCTAAAATAGTTTCCGAAATGACGGTCACACCCTAGTGCCCTTGCTCTCCCAGAAACCGTGGATATTTTGTTTATAAATTAAGCCTCATAGTGAGACGAGTCTGCAACTTTTATCATGAAAACATTAAACCCGTTTCGACACTGCTTATGGTTTCAATGATTATAATGAATATAAAAGGAACCGATGATATCAGTTGACATTCTCTGTACAACCAGATTTCCTCAGCATGAATTCTACACTATATTATGGTCCTCTTTAATAGTTATATCCTCAGTTTTACCATAAGCGTATACTTTGATATAATAACCCCGATTGGTTGATATCATTAATCCTTCAATTCAATACGTTTTAAAGATGTTTGCTGGTATCATTAAAGTAAATAACTGGGTAATAATACAAGCACAATACGTTGATATTAACACATATTAAAATAGGAAAAGTCATATAATATATTACACGAATTTTATTTGTTAATAAAATATGAGATAAATAGAGACAATAAAATATTGTAATTTTATTCTTTTGTAAACTAGAAGCTATAAATATCATTTAACAATATTAAAATTTTAATAAAAATTTTGATGGGAACATGTATTATAATTACAGTAATGATATTTAATAATATAATGATATTTAATAATTATAATGTTTTACTTATAATGTGATTTATATTTATTATTATTTCATAAATAAAATTATTAAAAATTATGATGATGCGAACATGTATTTTAATTACAGTAATGATATTTAATAATATAATGATATTTAATAATTATAATGTTTTACTTAGAATGTGAATTATATTTATTATCATTTCATAATTAATATAACATTAATTATAATAACCATATCTATTGTTGTTTTAGTTATTGTTTCTTGTTAGCTATTGTTGGGGTTGTTTTTTTTATCATTGTCATCATCATCACTCTCATCCTGACCATCATCATAGTCGTCGATGTACGGTAGTCGTCGTCATCATCATCATCATTATCATCATGATTAATGTTATTATAACAATAACAATGCCTCTACGTAAGATGTACTGTCAGCCAAAGTAATTGATAACCACTCCTTCCCTTCTTGATCTATTTAGACAAATCATCATCATCATCATTATCATCATGATTAATGTTATTATAACAATAACAATGCCTCTACGTAAGATGTACTGTCAGCCAAAGTAATTGATAACCACTCCTTCCCTTCTTGATCTATTTAGACAAATCATCATCATCATCATCATTATCATCATGATTAATGTTATTATAACAATAACAATGCCTCTATGTAAGATGTACTATCAGCCAAAGTAATTGATAACCACTCCTTCCCCTCTTGATCTATTTAGACAAATCATCATCATCATCATTATCATCGTGATTAATGTTATTATAACAATAACAATGCCTCTATGTAAGATGTACTATCAGCCAAAGTAATTGATAGTCACTCCTTCCCCTCTTGATCTCTTTAGACAAATAGTTTTCCCTTACTCCGAAAAACTTTGAATTGATTACCAGGAAAATTAGGGATTTTTTTTGTAAGTTTTAATTGTAAGGTAATAATTTACTAAAATATATAAATTAAGCATAGGCCTATATAAAATGTGTAGCCATATGATAAACATACAAATTTAACTTGAAAACAAACACTATACTACTCAACTACCAAATCTAGGCCACTATCTCACAAATCGGTGTTAAGCATTTTAGTTTCATTTTTTGTTAAACCATTATTGTGCCTATCTTCTTCGTGTTTGGCTCTCAAGCAAATCAACACTTCAAAATAAGCTATCTACATACACTGTTATGTCACATCGTTACACATTCCATACACATGAAAAAAATAAACACATTTCCAAATAACTGGCAATATTTTATTCATCATTTAGATCAAAGGCCTCTATATATAGTAATAAACATAATTACTCTGTGATTCAACTCATTCGATTCCATTGTACTTTTACAAAGAGTTATCAAGTTTACAAAAAACTAAAACGATAGAAAAAAAAAACAATTAATGAGTTGTCATGATCAGAGTATTAATAAGACGGCAATTTCGATTGGACATTGCAACCGACCCTTAGTTGGCCGGATGCAAGATTTGATGTAGGTTTTCAATAGTTCACACACATTCCTGATTAGAAAAAAAACCCAGAAAACTGAATATACGTAGGCCTATACTTAGTTATACCTACTTTTATTCATTATGAGGAACGCTAAATTGACCTTACTTATTATCTAGGCCTAAGCCTACAAAACATAATTTAACACAGATCTGCTAAAATATTATAATTCTAAGATTCCCTTTCAAAAGATTAATAATACATGATCAATAATAGGCCTATAGAAAATCTTAGTTGTATAAATAAAATGTTAACTTTCATCTTGAAAATTACATTTTGAAGTTTTTCATGGTGAAATATTGTATATGGTAGATTCACATAAAACATAATAAGTAACAATATAAAATAATTAACAAATTATAGGCCTAACATAACAAGTATTCACTTGTATAAAAGCTTAGAAAAGTATTAAAATGTTGCACTGAATATTGTCATCAATATAGACTTATATGTTAAGGAATGTTTTTTAAATAAGGATATATAGTCAAATTAAATTAAGCGACTCTGCGTCCTCATTACATATTGCTATGTGCCCGACCACGCATGCGCAAATATACATTTGCGTATTCAAATAATATTATGAATTATTCGGGATAAAACCCAAATAAAAATAATAATAATAGTTAAACTAATGTTGAATTATAATTAATAAATAATTATTACTAAATAATTGCACTTTTAGAAATTGTCTTTTAAAAGAGATGAAAAATGGCAGAATTAGGGTCATGCATCGTATGTGTGCACTGTTAATATATTTCTTAACATGAAGGTTTAACTTATGGTGGATTAGGCCTACTTTCTTTTGTTTTAGGAACAACCGCCACCTGTAAAAATTCACCTCCGTTCGAATATGAATGTTCTGTAATTACTGTGTAATATTACTTTCAAATATCGACACGTAAGTTTTTAAAGGCACCCTAATAAAATCAGTATCATCAGTCACAATTATCAAGTGACAATTATACATTGTTAATTATTGACAGGTGACAGGTTAATAAGAGAAGGCAATTATGAACTAACATCTAATAACAAGTCGTAAAGTGGCCGTCTCACCAGTTGACGTAGTCAATTAGTCGCGCGTGTGACAATTGCGCTACATCATAGCAAATCATTGAAGTAAGCAATGGATGTTTTATTTTAACTGCATGCATTAATGTGTGAAGGCAGCCCCGAAATGAAACTCGTTAGTTCCATTAACATTCGCTAACGCAAAATTTTCTTTATGAAATACAGATCACGTGACTGGAATTCCACACCATAGATTATAATGTTTTAAGATCTTTACAAAAATACAGAAATTATATTCTTCTTAATTATAGAACACATATTTAAGACACTATATAGGTATACCAATGGTCTGTTGGCACTATCATATGACGTTTTCGCCATATACCCCAACAGACAGCGTATTGACTTATAAAACATTTAAAAATAAAAAAATATATACAAGCACATGAAATACAATGAAAGCAGGCTGTATCCCCACCACCCCCCCCCGTTCCCCCCCCCCCCCCCCCCCCCCAATATCAGTACGCGGAAATAGTTTTCCCGTACCAATAATCCCCCGCAGCTAATATAATTGATACGGTATTTACATCTTTCATATTCGAACATTAGAATAGGAGGCCTAAAGTATCTAAATCGTTTTAGAAGCGGAAACGTTCAATCAAAGTGGGATAATTCGCATTAACCTAAATATGGTAAATGAAGTATAAATCTACTGGGGACGGTGTCTCTTTTTCTCAAAACTTGATTTAATATCTTTACAACCACCATCAGAAAACATTATCTTTAGGAGTCTTTAAAAAGTTGTTTCCTTACAAATATATCTGAAGTATTTAGATAAGGCTTATGTGATAATTATTGTATGGAAATAGGAAAAGTGTAAAAACATTAAAATGTATATAATATATTAAAATTATTCTTTTTACATTTTAATATAATATGTTTATGCAGAAATCATACTGCGTTCGATTTCTTGTCCCATACGGGGAACGTGTAGAAGGAGAACGTTTCGATTGTCAACAGAATGGCATTTGTTCAAGTGGTGAGTGAGTCCATTGGGGGACGGAAACGAATTGATACAATACTTACAGTTGTACGTATCTCGAGTTTCGTGCATTTTTGCGTGCTGTTGTAACGCTAACTTATCAAAAAATACACCACCGCAAATATTACAGACAACTTCTTGGGGTGATGACAAGTGCGTGAGCAAATGTTTTTCTCTGGAAGTCAAGCTATCGAAAACGCGGCCACAATACTGACATGGATGATTATGCGACTCGCCGTGCTGTTGCATGTGTTTTCGTAAGTACCCCTGACGACGGAACCTCTTCCCACATAATTCGCATTCGTACGTCCGCTCATCTGGACCTTCGACGGGCGATCTAGGGCTTGGAGTACTGCGGTCGCTTAAACTTGTAGTGTCCGACAACGGTGATGTTGCCTTTCTCGGGCTCATGTTTCCGTCAATATGTAAGAGTTTTGAGTTTGTTTTCATGCCAGCTGGTAGAATTCTATGCGATGAGTTTGTTTGACGGGAGACGGTTTGGGGTCTCGGTTTGTGCCACCTCCGATGTGAGGCTAAGTTTGCGGGACAATTAAAAACCTTGTCGCATTCGGGACACCGGTATTCAACATGTACAATTCTTGAACATTTGTGCTGAGCAAGCGATAGGGGATCATTAAAACTCCCCCTGCACAACTGGCAGACTATATCACCTGCATTGCTGGTCTTTTTAGCGTCTTTGGTATTTTGGTTTGCATCATCTTGCACGTCCTCATCCGCCATAATAATCGTCCCGTTTACAGGTGAATTGTTTTGCTCACTAAAATTCAACTTTCGTGCCGCCTTGTACTTAGACTTCTTTGCTTTTGGTGGCGATTTGACCATGGTGTCTGTAAACGGCCTTTTCAGCGACTGAACTGGACTCCCCTGCAAACTTGTTGCTGCCTGTTGTTTAGGTGTCGATGGTGCAGACACAGCAGATAACGCTAGGCTCGGCAAATTAGTAACAGGGGAATTTCTTGACGATACTGGTGATGGTAGTGATCGGACCGATGGCGTAGGGCTAGGTATACTCTGAACCGATTCCGTTTCAAATACAAACGCTCCATATTCAGCACTTGGGATCGTTATTGGACTTTGGCCGTAGCCGGAATCCGGAGAATGAAATGGCTTATAGGGCGAATGTTGCTGCGACAAACCTACTTTCTCCGATAAAAAGTCGTCGTGTTCGTCATCCGATGACCGCGATCGGTAGGACACAAGCGATGTCTTTTTATTGCGTTTCACAAGAAATCCTCTGGGCATTTTGTACGATCAACTTGTCCTATAAGATGCAAGATTCTGCTGTTACCACCTGCAGCAAGCTAGAACAGCGGCGGAAGATAGTTCTGAATGATTCGTATAGGAATGACAGCAAATCAAATCAAGCACGGTACTTCTATCAGTTCTTTGTTATAGGTTGATCATTAGACACATCGATCTTTCCGAGAAGAAGCACACTGGCATATGGCAGTCAGAAATTCACAGGTTTATCTTATTTCATAACACAACCATCTGTTTCCAAGAGAAATGAGAATCTTTAAGACGTATAACCGTCTCCACTGAATCATGAGGGGGAGTGTCAGCAAAAACTTCCGAGCAAGATTTAAAACCCAGGGTATTTAAACAATATTCAAATGCAGCCTCAACCAATCAACGTGCACGCTGGTACCGCCTCCTTTGTTCCTCTAAACGCTTTTGTGTATAGAAGCCAGCCGCGTGCCGGCTTTGTTTGTTCTGTGGTGGTATTGTTTTGTAAATTGAACAATATCTGCCTGTATTTTGGAAACCAATAATTTTCATATGAAACGGGTATTTCAAACATATGAAGAAATGAACTCTTAATATATTATTTTTTTTTCATTTAAAAGAAGATGAACACGAACAAGTGGCTACGTTCGAACGGGTATTTAGCTAAAAATTAGTACAGATACGATTAACTCCTATTGGTTGAAAGCAATGTATAGTCTCGCCTACTTAAGTACCGACCAATGGGAGTGATGGTTAATGACGCGCTTTGGCGAACACGACACACGACTTGGTCTGCGGACAAAGGCAAATGGAGTAATCAATGATAGCTTTACTGAGTAGAAACCACAGCTTTTGTTTTTAACGCTAGCCTTAACAAAGATTATTTAATCAAATTTCTCGATCGAACATGGTAAAAGGTTCATTAATCTGTGAACGTTACTTGCAAGAGAATTTTTAATCAACAGGCGGAATAACATAGGAATGCGCAAATGCAACACAGCGCTGATTAAAATAAGAATCAATTTGCTTATATTTCTAAAGTTTCCATCCATTTTAATGAAATATGTAAACCATAATTATTAGTGAAAAATATTCAGATTTTTTTTAAACTGAAAAACTTGAATTTTGTGATAAAATAAATATGAATATAAAAAAATTACTATGACTGTAATAAATTCGTTACCGACTGTAATAAATTCGTTACCGACTGTAATAAATTCGTTACCGATTGTAATCATAGAGTCAGAACAATAAGAATCCAATGCAGTTCGCGTAGCTTCGCGCGAGTTGTGCAAACATTCGAACGTCCAAATGGTACATGTTGACCTTATATAAGCGATATCTTTTTAAGAAATCGTTATTATTTTGATTACTTCACGAGCACTTCATTAATTTTATAGCAATTTTACAACACTTTATAATTAATGAGACAACTTTATAATATATATCATGTGCTGATCTGAACTCAAAGACCTCTTGATCTATTCGAATTGATTTATTTTGTCTTTTGGTCAAACAACAGCACAAATAAAACTTATTAATTGCATATCCACAATTAAAAAAAATCTCTCAAAATAACTAAAACCTCTACAGGGGCGGATCCAGCCCGGTAAGAAAGAGGGGCGTGAATGTGCGAAATAATGGGAGTCTCAGGGAAGAGCCCTGTTAGGGGTGCAAGGGGCGTATCTTCCTAAACCTCTCTCACCTTCATGAAATTCAGTTGTATCTGATTTTCACTATTTTTTGCTTGGTAACTTTCTGATAAGTTTTACAAAAACCAATTATTTTTAGCAAAAAATATAGAGGGGGCGTACGCCCCTTACGCCATCCTCTAAATCCGCCACTGCTCTATGCAGTACAAAATATATATATATATATATATATATATAATTAAAACGGAACAGTAGAGAAAATCCGATCAGAATGACAAAATAAACAACTAAGTATCCACTGGAAGGAATCCCAATATCTGCAGACGGATCCGATTCGGCCTTCCAGGACTCATCAGTGCAGCTGGGGTATAGACCCAAAAGAAACGTTTGACCAGCTTAGGAAGGGCCCAAACCAGTCCCACTACCACTAATGATTACAGAGCCAAACCAAGGCAATACATACATATATATATATATATATATATATATAAGAGACAGCATATATACATATATATTATATATATATATATAAATCAAGATAGTCGTTAACACTGTTAAATTATATATAACTCATCAGAGGCATTTTATTACACAATTTCTTTATTCATTTATTTTATAGGACTACATTCGTTGAAAGCCATGCTACACAATGTATTATTATGTCCTATATACAAACACTGTATTTACCTTTCTTTTGTTTACTATACTATACTTTCAGTGGTGTGCATTTCAACATTTGAACATCATAATTAATTTCAGCATGACCGCATTCACATTCATCCGACCTGTTAAAATGTATAAAATATAATATAAGTTATCTTACTCGATTCGTGGCGTATATTACCCACCTCCGCTAACGCCGCATTTTGTAAGAATCCTTTTTTTAACACGAAACACAGCGACGTGATAGTAATGAATATCAAATAGGGTTTTATATGATTATTAATAACTAATACCAACGTCCAAACAGAGCATATTAATATGATTGAATCGCTTTTTATTTTCATTAACACAGACAGGCTGCTCTTCAATTTTTGTTTATGAATAATATTATAATTATAGCAATAATAGTATTAATAATAATGATTTGAATAAAAAATAATATAAGATAAAAATAATATAAGATACCGTAATAATGATAATAATTTTCATATAATTAACAATTACTATAATAATTATGTAATATTAATAATAAAACAACTATAGGCTGAATTAATAATAATGAAATGATAATAATAATCATAGCCAAATATTATCAGTGCTTTAATTTATATAATTAAATGTGCAGTTTGTTCTGATTTTAGTTATAAAAATATTTTGGTTAAACGTTGATATAGTTATTTATATAGGATTTTTATCAACAAAGAAATGTACAGGTTCCTCTCAAGTGCCATTCAAATCAGCATATCACATGACAATCTCCCGTTATCAACACTCCATGTTTCATTCTTCAACTCCTTTATTTGCCTTTACCTCAAGGAGCAGCTGGAGGCAGGATAAAAGTGAGCAAATTGTAAGTGATGGTGAGTACCCGAAAGACAGGGCTTACGAAATGACGAAACAAACACAAAACATCACCTCTTGACAAAGGTACGTTCTGGTTTATAGACACAATGACATAGTTAGGCCAAGAGAAACCTAACAAATGTATGTTCTAACAATTGTGGACAAAGAATTGACCACATTCATAAAGTATCGTCGGTCTAACAGCTGGTTCATAGACCCCGGGTGAGACAATCGCGAACGGTAGCACGTCAAGTCTCGGCTAGAAATACCATTGATAGGCGTGCGTAGGTACGCTAGGATGGGCAGAAACTATAGCGGACGAGAATTCATTAACTGGATTTTGTGATGTGTCGATTAAGATATACAAAACACTCCCATGCAATTTTGTTTTAAGAACAAAAGATCTGTTCATGGCTCGTCGCTCAGAATTCTTATCGAGCAAACTCTAAAAGAGTTTAAGTAAACTTTGATTAAAGCCACGGCATACGGAGCGTTAGCGTGCAGCTGGCTGCTAAATATCGTAGCTTCATAATTATTATTATTATTTGATATTAAATCCTCAACAATGCATTTAACTGGAATTGGTCGGATGCCTTGTTTTAGGCATGTGAGGCGGAGTATTAGTTGATTTGCTCTCGGGATTGCATCATTCAAATCTCAAATTCCCACAGATGCCTTTAACTTGTTACCATGGTTTCATATACTTAATTCTTTGTGTTAACAATATTTACAGGGTCGAATTAAAATGCGATGAGTGCAATGCTAATGTTAAGCCTTATTGCGTTAAGCATTAGGCCTATTAAAATTAAAATCGACAACACAATATTTTAAGCCCTTTAAAACAAGAATTATTAATTTATAGTAACGATTTGCTAGACATACATTTTTACAGCAGATTAAATAATTTTTTTTGTGAAGTCTTAGATTGGTTAAATATATAATTTTGAATATAAAAACTATCGTGGTCAATCTTTAATCTAACAATTAAACTGGAAATTACTTGACGAAAGACGTTATTTAGTTTTGGCTTGTTTGATGTTTAAATGTATACATGGTTTGGCCCCACTACGATTAGGCCTATGTAACGAATGGACGTTCATCGACATCGATACTCAACCAGAAGGTCTAACTCACAAATGTTATACCACCAGTTCCAAACTGCAGCGCTATGGAAAGTTACCTTAAAACAAATGGAGCTAAAGTCTGGAACAATATACCATTTTTTATTCAAGAATCAACTAATATAAATAGTTTTAAATCACAATAAAAGCTTTTTTTTTTATGGATGGATATATTTTAATTCTTAGGTAGGCCTTGCTCTGTATTTAACTGTTTTGATTGGTAATTTTTTTTTTGTGTACAGGTATTTCGAAAATTGATTGTAGACTTTTCATTTTTCTTAAGTCTCTTTTTTTATCTCTTTTTAAATCAATTATTTATTTGGTCAAATACAGGACCATCTGAAAAACATTTTATTCTGAAATGTTATCCTGTATAAAGATGTTTTAAATAAAAAATTAAAAAAAGTTGTACTCTGAATTAAATCGAAATATTATGTGTAGGCCTATATGTTAGGGGGCATGCTATATATTACCTTGATCTTTGGGGCCCTCAATAAATAAAAACAATACATAAAAAGAAATACAATATAAAAATAAAAGAAGTAAACATATCAAACAATTGCAAAATTATATTACATGTATGTATGTGGGTACTCGACGCAAACCGAGATCAAAACCATACGCTCACTTAGCATTTTAAACGGCAAGACAGGATCCCCGGATGAAATTCATCATGAAGAGTTAAATATAATAATTAGTTATAAAATTTTTGCCAGTAACAATTGTTTAAAAATTTTTCTGTTAAATTGTAATGTATTAGGCCTACTAATAAACAACGCACTCGTTAAGTTTGGCTTCCATCAAATCGCTACAATGTTCGGCGCCACAGCAATCGCACATCCCCTGCGTAGCTCTTTCCGACGCAATCGAAAATGCCTCCAATTCGTCGCAAATCTGCAAAGTTGAACCAGTTTCGAACCTTCCCGACTCGTGTCGGTGACGAATCTAAATCCCCAACTAATTCTCTGTCGAATTTACTAAACGTCATCAACTAATGCTTATAATGTTACTGAATACCATTAAATATTTCCGTTGTTTGTACAAAAAGAGCATAAAGGAGTTAAATTAGGCCTATATGTTTTATATAAATTTTGCAACGAATAAACAGTAACTTTACTATACAGTAACTAACGAAATACGCTATCAAGTTTGTACCTAACAGAAGCACTCTTATACTACCGAAGAGTAGCTATTTTATGGA